GCGGGGGGCGTGTTTTTCGAAGATTTTGAGGGGTGAATGGTGAACTCTCAATGGTAAATGTTTGGGGTAATTGCTTTGTAATCTTTTGTTCTATCTCTTTGTTGAGCCTTTCTCCACAAAGAAGGATTATGCCAAACTGGCACAAAAAGCAGAAGTGTTTGTGAGCATCCAAACAATAATCGTAACCACATTTGTTTTGCTTTCCTGGAGGCTTCTTTTTTGATGCCATCAAATTACTATAATTTTTTTATAAGGCAAGGTTGAGATTTGATACTGTGCCTTAGCTGTAGATATAGATAAAAGTATTACATTTGCCTCTGACAAAATTCTGGTTGATGTTTTCTTTTATGTACTGATATGTTCATCACTACCAGTGTGTGTCTGTTTTGTAGCAAAACAGTGCTGCTGATCTGTCCATGCTGGTTTTGGAGTCTTTGGAGAAATCGGATGCAAAAGTAGCAGATGACCTTTTAGGTGAGGTGACTTTGCGCTCAGTTTGATGGTGTTTAGATGTGCTTTCACTTCACAGTGACTGTTATTAACAGTCTTGAAACCTGAAATCCTTCTTGTATGCCCTCCCACATGGCTAAGGATTACCTTTATCATAGAAATGGACTGGGGGGAAAACTTTATTAGAGAATAATGGATTCCTGATAACTTTGTGGGCATGCTTAGAACAAACATTGCTGTCTTGTGGCGTTGTCCTTTCCTCGATGCAGCAGTAATGTATTGTCTACACAGTCATTGATGTCCCCAGGGCTTTGGGGGATGATGGTTTCCCGCCCTAGCAGTGTGGTGGTGTGCAGATTATTTGTGATTCAGCTGTTCACAAGGAAATTTTTCTTGTATGACTCTGAGATTTGGTAAGCAGGCAATTCAGGGAGACCTTTTAAGAGCTGCCTGGCCAGACTACTGCTGCAGCATGGGCGAACCACTCCTATTAACAACCTATGGATGGAGACAGAGAGGCAGAGGCAGTTCTTTGTCTACTTAGATCAGCTCTGACTTTTTGTATCCCATCTATGACTTTTGGTGGTGCTTTTCTGAACTACAGCCCTCTGTCCCTCACAGCTTCCCCGTGAATGACAAGCAGTCCCATAACCTGCAGTCTTTCCTCCTCCTTGGAACTGCATGGTCCTCTGGGATATCCTGTCCCAAACGATGAGACAGGGAAGCTGTCACCAGCTGACTGCAAGGCACAGCTTTTGGCTGTGGAGGAGTCATATAGGCTGATAGATGCAAGATTGATGTATGAGAAGTGGCTCAAGTTCAAAGTCACTCTTTTTTAAGGTGGCTTATGGAGGCCGTTAAGGGAGCTTAAAGACACAATAGCACTGTAACTTAGATGTTGTATCTTAAAGATGCACTAGAAGCAGCAGTTCATCCTATTTCCATTAATGCTAAATATTTGTCAATCTTATTGCTTCTAGAAAACTTGGCTAAATTGTTTAGTTTAATGGATCCAAATTCTCCTGAAAGAGTGGCTTTCGTATCCAGAGCACTAAAATGGTCTAGCGGGGGATCAGGAAAACTTGGACATCCAAAACTACACCAGTTACTAGCAATTACCCTGTGGAAAGGTAAGAAAAATCACAGCTTTTCTGTGTTCCGTTTCAAAAATGTTGAAAGTATGATATTGTAAGAGATCTACTTTGGAAGTAATCTAAGGAAACTGAGATAGCAATGATTGATTGAGTTTTGCTATTACCTGATTTTTGCAGTAACTTCAGCTTAATGTAACTAACAAAAAAACTCTGGGTCTGTAACTCTATATTAGTGCAAAACCCAAAACACAACTGCTATAACGGTCTCTGTAAAAGGAAGATTGATCCTTTAGACATTGAGGTAGTTTGATTGAGTCATTAGGAGGAAAATTGCTGGGGAGCAAAGCTGTTCTATTGTGCTTTTTTGTTTTTAAATCCTGGATAAACATGACAAAGATTGAAATCACCCAGCATCCAAAACAGTCTTTGGCTCTGTAATTAGGTACTTTTTGAGACGTTGACCAGCACGCTTATTCCAGAATGAATGCTGTTGCCTTTGATTTATGTGGGATTTTATCACTTGTGATGGGCTGTAAGATAAACCAAAAATGCACTAAATAATTATTTTAATTGTGGATGATAGCCAGTTTTTCAAGTCTTATGTTCAAACCATAACAAAGGTGAGTGAGAACAGTTGAACAAATACCATCTCTTCTGTGGTTTCTCGTGAATTAACAACTGTGCAAGATGATTGTTAGTTTATTTTAAAATTTTTAGTAGCTGCAAAGTGATGATAGTGGTTTCATATAACAGTCCTGACCCAAAGGTCAACATTCCAGCTCATTGCCTTTCTGTGTGCCATAGGCAATCCCATAGCTGTTCTCGTGGAACTTATGTTAGCTTGATGGCTGCTGCGAGCCAGAAAGGGAAGATTTTCCTCAGAGCATTTAAGGTAGAAGTTGAGATACGATTAGGATAAGAAATAGTTGCATTCTGAAAGTAAAAATCCCCATTTTGTAGCTGTCAGCTCACTGTTCTTTTGAAGAGGAAAATGCATATGTTTTCTTAGTCTGTAGTTTTTGAGAGTTTCATCAGAAAAGGCTCAGATTTTTAAAACAAAGCTTTTAAATTCCAAAAATGAGCAGCTATCCCGTTTTGATTTGTCATTGCAGTGATTTTGCTTTGCTGCAAGTTAAGTTCTAACAAATCATTGCCATTTCTTACACCTTTTTTCCCTGTATAATTGCTGTTCTATTCAGTATATGGAAGCAATTTTTATTTTGATAGCAAGAGTGGGCTAAGCTAAAAATAGGAAATGCCTTCTTTCTGTGCACTTAGAAAGAAGGACGCTGAAGGTGCTGTTTTACTTCTTGGTGCACATGATCTAATATGGAACTTCTTGATTCTTCTCCGAAGCACTGACGATAGCACATGAAGTGTCAACATGCAGTTAGATAAAATGATATGACCTCAGCTCAAGCTATTTGTACCCAGTGGTAGCTGTGTTTTGTGGTGGCGTTGAATAAACTGTATTTAATAGCATTTGTTGGAATGTGTTTAGGATAACATATTTATTATCTCCCTTTATAAATTGTCTGTAACTTACAAAGGAAAAAGCCCACTCTCTTTTTGCTAGTTGCCTTGTTCATGTATCATGTGTGTGGTTCTTGTCCTTTTACCAGCTGTAGAGTACAAGCCTAACAAATTTGTTTTTACGTTCAGGTATGATGAACTGATTTCTTAAAAGCCATTTTCTTTTTCCTTTTATAGAGCAAAACTATAGTGAATCTCGGTATCACTTCTTGCACTCCACAGATGGCGAAGGATGTGCAAATATGCTAGTAGAATATTCCTCGTCCAGGGGATATCGCAGTGAGGTGGACATGTTTGTAGCACAGGCAGTACTACAGTAGGTGTTAAACTTTTTTTAAACTGTTTTGCTGAGATAACACTGTGTTTGAGGCCAATCTAATTTAATCATGATAACTGTAGGTTAATCATGCATCCTTTTCAAAAGAAACACTGAAACTGGCCAGAGCTTCTGAAACTCACTTTGTGTGGTAACAACAGGAGAAAACCATCTCAAAACTGGTGTGTTGAATTGGTCAGATTGGGGAGAGGAAAAAAAAAAAAAAACCAAAACATATTAAGGTCGAAACCTGAAGTCATGTTAATTGCCTGAAGAATTAATGTAATCTGTTTGACCCTGAAAGCACAATTCTTAGCTTTGTTAACACCACTTTATGTCTAGTTAGGGCTTACCTTGATGTTCTTACGAATACTGGGCCTAAGTGGGCTCTGTATTTACCTTTAATGTAGTACTTGCTCTCAGTCTCATTGTCCTAAGAGACAATTTGTCTTGGGTCACCCTGGTCTCTGAGCAGTGGTGTGATGGTTCTTGGTTTGACATAGTTGCTGATGGCTTTCATTTACTTTTAGACATTTATTTTGTAGGAGGTAAGAATGCAAGCTATTATGTGCCTTTGCAGAGCTCATGTACAATTAAGGTTGACAAAGCCAATTTTACTGTGTTTAATCAGCTGATGGCTTTCTTCAATCAGGGAAGGCAGCTCATGGAGGAGTCTGAGGAGGAGGTGGAGACAGGACTGTGCAGCAGGGAGTCAGGGAGAGAGTAGGTGTTGGGGGAGAGGGAGGAGGTGAGAGCAAATCTGTCTCTCTTCTGGCAGCAGTGAGCTGTCATGTCAGATTTGTCCTGCTTTCCATAGCTGGTTGATATAGATTGCAGTGATTTTGAGCGGTAGAAAATCCTTTATGGAAATCCAGTATATGCAGGACTCTTAAACAATTTTATGGGGCTTTGTTCTGGAGGGGGGGAAATTCTGGGGAGAAGTTATGAGTAAAATATTATTTTTTCAGTATTTATACAGCACTACTACTGCATCCTTTACTGACCTATATCTCAGATACTGTACTAAATCCTCTTACATAGCAGTTTATACTCTAATGAAAATAATTGCAGTTCCTTGCTCAGCAGTAAGGCAAAAGAGTCCAATGCCCTTGCACGTGCGAGGATACAGAATTGGAGGCCAGGCTGTGACCAAAAATGAGACTGCTCGTGGCAGCCTTCCAGTGCTTGCTGACAGCATTTGTCCCAGATAAAGTCTCGTTAGGCCTATGGGACTTGCAGAGATTGCCAGTTAAATTAACTGGACCTGAACAAAGATTTGATCAGTTTGGGAAATCGATCTGTTAACTGGTGACAAATGGCTTGGGAGCTCGAAGTGTAGCTTTTTTATGAGACTTTTAGACAGGTGTGTCAAACTTATTAGCAGTCCTGATGCCATGTTATTTTGAGGTCACGCTAATAGAATGACAGAGTCGTTGGACACTGGCAGATACATACTGAAAGGAGATGTGTTTGGGAGTGGATGGGGCCAGGAGAGAGGTCTTTAATTTAGTTTTTACCTCAGCATAGTAAACTCTGGACCAGCAAATGCAGTATCATATTTAATTTGAATTACGCGGTGGCCAGTCTTTCCACATTTTGATTTAATTGATGGCCTCTTTTAGTAACCGTCCTGCATACAATCTGCTTAGATCTCAGTTAAACTCATTCTATTAATATTTAATGTCAGTTCTCCCTCCCAACCTGCTTATTCCACAATGTATTCTAGTAGTGATTTTCCCCTTCCTTGGTTGATAGCCAAACAAACCATTGCCAAAGATACACATCTCTACCAGTTAGTTTTTGCCATCAGTTTAAGCCTGAGATGGCTTCTATGCACAAATGAAGTAGAGATTATTGAGCTTTTGGCTTCCCTTTTTCTTTCTGCATGTACAACTACTTCTCTGCCTTTTATTTTTAACTTGCCCTGTTCTGTTTCCTTTTGCAGATTTCTCTGCTTAAAAAATAAGACCAGCGCATCAGTTGTTTTTACGACATACACACAGAAACATCCTTCAATAGAAAAGGGTCCGCCCTTTGTTCAACCACTGCTAAACTTCATCTGGTTTCTCTTATTGGCAGTTGATGGGTACAGTCTGATTTTTCTCATGTTGTTCTTGGTTTCCTTTTCAGTTGTTACTGAGATTACATTTTTGGTTGTTTCCTTTCTAGAGGAAAATTAACAGTATTTACAGTATTGTGTGAACAGTATCAACCTTCACTGAAAAGAGATCCCATGTATAATGAGGTGAGTTACTCATAGTTGTAAACAGGATTTAACCTATGGAATTAGTTAAATAACAGCTGATTGTCTCCCGTTTTGTGACTTGTAGATGGGAGTCAGTGATCTAGCTTGTGTGGTGTGACTGCTGCCCATAGTATTTCCACCTGTAAATGAAGTAGCTGACATTGTTCTTCATCTTGTGTTGTTTCAGTACCTAGATAGAATAGGACAGCTTTTCTTTGGTGTTCCGCCCAAGCAGACATCATCCTACGGTGGATTACTAGGTAAGGTTTATGCTAACAATTGTTTATATATACCACCAGTCTTTTCAGAGCAGTGGCTTATATAAAACGGCTGTTGCTGGAAACAGATAATTTGTTCTAACAAATGTGTCATTTTTTTCATAGCTTGTAGAAACAGTCACTACTGTAGAATACAAGATGAATTGGTTGCATGTGAAATTAATTTGGTGAAGCTAGTAGACTTTTCATCTTTGAGAAGGGGAGAAGCATGTCAATGACTCTTATGGCTGATTTTTGACATTACGGTATAACTTCCAAATGTAAAGAAAAATCTTGTTTGTGTTAAAGCTTAATTTCCTCAGACTTGAGTGGCTGGTTTTCTTTAAGTCAAGTCTGGGACTTTGGTAGAGACCTAACCAGTCCTGATACAAAATGAATGTTGCCAAAGTAGCAGTTCTGAAATTATACTGCCCTTCTACAAGAAATGAAAGGGAATAGAGAAATTGAGCCCTCATTTCCTGGCTCTTGAATAAAATGTGAGCATATTGAACTGGATTACTTTTGTAAAATCAAATGTTTTCCTTGAGAACTAAGCTGCTCTGTTTGTAAACTGAATTTAAGCTTTACCTGCAAATGTCAATTCACTGATATCCAAAGTTTGATGAAAAACATAAGCATCATAGATCCCATATGTAAATAACAGCTTTTCAGCAATTCAAGCATCTTTAAATTGAATAAGACAGGGAGAACGCATAAATGCTTTGAAAAAGTTCTTTGTAGCATGATGCAGACCACTGCTGTCTTTTGACAGTTTCATGGCTGGAGGTGTGTCTTTCCTCATTTTGTTGTTTTTTTTTTCTTTCCTCTCATGCGGCAACTATAGTACATAAGCATGCGACTTTAGTGGGATTTTTCCAGTGTACTTTTAGAGAAGGAACAGTATCAAAATACAGCTTCCCAAATCAGTAAGTTCTTAATGGAAACCAGTGTGGGAATACTAATGTCCTCCTGAGACTCTTTTACTTCAAAAAAAAAAAAGGTCTTTTCATTGCACCTAGCAGGATGGTGGGAGAATAGTTGAAGTTTTTGAGATTGAGAATGTAAAACTAGCAATTTTGACTGCCCTGTATTTTATTCTAGGAAATCTTTTAAACAGTCTGATGGGAACTGGAGAAGATGATGACACAGAAGATGGTCAGGAAGATAGCAGTCCTATTGAGCTCGACTGAATGTTGTTGTCATTGGGTGCTGTGTAAATCTGATGATTCGATGACTCCAAAGACAGTTTTGGAATTTGAATCCTGCAGTTGTTTCTTGGTGCCTAAAAGGGCTCCTCCGGTCTTTTAGAAATGGTTGCTGAAATGTTTATAATGTTCGGTCTATATTATTTATGTAAAAAAAGAAAGAAACCAACAAAAAGTAGCCAAACGAACCAATCGGAGCAATTGTTAGCAGGTTTCCGATACAGCGGCTGGTGACTTTGATTAAAATATAGTCTTCTACGGTTTCTGATGCAGTATTCCCTTTTGCACAGTAATTCAATAAAGCATAAATATGGGTCTTGTACTTCTCGGCCTACCCTATACCATCTTTGTTACGAGAAAGCCTCCTTGACCTCTCCCACCTCCAAGGAAGATCTCGAAAGGCAGGGTGATCAATTGAATAATTTATTTGCGAGGCTGGTGCCAAAAGTACTGCGAGAAGAGCCAAGCAGCGTAATTTGAGATGTACATCCAAGAGACAGTGATACCAAGAACTTCCTTCCACTGCCGTGAGTAACATGCACGCCGTTCATACTGCCTTTCACTCTCCTTAAGATCTCGCTCTGGCCAAGCCCACACGTGTGTTTAGCCGGTATTTCCTGAAAAGCACAAGCTTTTTTTACTCTTGAGTAAAAGCCAATCAGTGGAACATAGGTAATTGGCTTCCATGTGGATCTCTCTTGCCTAGGTATAAAAATTTGGCTCATGGCTCTACTCCTTTGGAACAGATTTTTTTCCAGTGTAAGTTCACAACCATACGTAACGGTGATGGTGTTATAGCGAATGAAATTATTTGCTGTGAGCAACGTATGTGTTTGAACTGCAGCTGTATGTAAAGAAAAGGGATACTGCAGAACTTCTGGTTCTTTATGATATATTTATTTTTCTTGGGTGATTTGATTCATTTAACACTTTCTGTAAAAAAGAGTAAATCAATAAATAATGGAGTAACTTCAACCCCAGTGGTAGGCATAGCCATTCTACATCTCCTCCTCTTTAATGCAGCACAGCGGATGTCAGTGGTACAGTGAACAGATGAAATGGTGGGGAAACGCTTTATTTTTTCACGATGAAAATAAAAAAGGCTTAGATTAATAAACAGCAATCATGCATGGGGGAGGGAGGGATTAATACAAATTTATTGACTGTATGAAAAAGAAAAGGCATCGAAAGGAAGACTTTGTGTTAATTGTGAAGTCTCAAATAAACACTTTATACCAGGATGTGCGATATTGCTGCTTTCTAAGAGTTTTACGAGCAGAGATCTTACTTTCCTTGCTATTTTTTTTTTTTAGCGCCCCCGCCTCTGCATTTGACCATGGGTCACCCAGACCTTAGTGCTGCAGCTTTCTCTCGGTGCAGTAAAGGCATAGTTTTAGTCGGGTATTGTAATGTCTGGGGCAGGTGTGGATTGCTTTGCTTTGTGGCGAGGTCAGGGAAGAGCCCCCTACCCGGGATGATGCTGTAGACGTTTAATAAATCATCTGGGACGCCGGCAGC